CTGTTTTTGAACATTTCACTGTTAAGTCCTATTTACTTTGTGAACCACTGTGACCTCCAGATCCTTATCTACAATACTCTTTCCTAGGCGGTCATTTCTCATTTTTTGTGTGTACATTAGGAAATGTATCATAACAGTGAGTTCAAACAGGCAGCGAAATAATCTCTAAAGAAAAGGACGAAAACTACCATTATTTCATACATAGTTAATCTGTGGAACTCCTTTCCAGAGGATATTGAGAAGGCCAAGTCACTGACAGGGTTAGAAAAAGAACTTGATAAATTTATGGAGGATAGGTCCACCAATAGCTATTAGCCAGGATGGCAGGGATGGTTTCCCTAATCTATGTTTGCCAGACATTGGGAACATGAGACAGGGGATAGATCACTTGATGATTACATGTTCTGTTCATTCCCCCAAACGCTTGACATTGGCCGCTGTTGGAAGACAGGATATGGGCTAAATGAACCATTGATCTGACCCAGCACAACCGTTTTCATGTTCTTACTTGAGTCATTTAAAATTGTACTGGCTCAGGGAGGATGGATGTATTAGGTATTTTCCATAATTGGTTTCTGACTTTCAATGTTAAAGAACTGTTGCTCCACCTTGTGTATAGAAAGGAAATTGCAATGCAGTGCACCCACTTGAATGATAAAAGAAATAATCTTTAGAGGCAAAGAAACAGTACTATCTTAACATTCAATGCATGGGTGGAATCATGACTGTTTGCAAAGGTTAAAATAAAAATGAGTCCAGAACTAGGAGACTGTCTGCACTGCAATCAATCTTGAAATTCTTTTCCAATATCAATAGCTACAATGAAAAATTCATCTGCCTGGATGGAATGCGGAAACAAGTGATCATGAGAATAACAAAGAAAAGGCAAGATTTTACAGCACGGTCACGTGTAACTCAATGGTGTCTGAATTACGAATAGCTCAAGTTACGGCCAAGTATTTGGTCCGTAACTCGTTCATAACTCGGAGAGAGGCTGTAGTTCCAAATACAGAAATGGGATGTATAGGTCTAACCTCCTAAGTGACAGTTGGAAACCAGAGCAGCATTGTGTGATACCTGGCGTGAGAGGTGCAGAGGGCCCCTTCAGCCCTGTGGTTTCTACAATGCTGCCATCTGTGTGAACCACTATCAGAGTGGCTTTTTCAGTATTCAAGCTGTCCCCAATTTGAAGGGCTGTTCTGCCAGACTTAAAAAAAAAAAAAAAAGTTTCGTTTAACATAATTCAAACATTAGTTATGTTTATGCTTCTCTGACTCTTCTCTCTGGATCCCTACAAGTCTAACCAGTATGACAGTAGCTAGATCAGTGTGTATGCTTTCAAGTCAACCAAATTCTGGCCATGTCCAAGGCTACGCACTTCAGTTCACCAGCGCTACATGGGAGGGATTTAGTCAGAGCGATCTAGCTGTATAACTCAAATTCCTGCATGTTGCAATGAAGAGTCCCCTTCTGCTCTTACCAAAACCTGAGTCTTACTTATCCTGAGATATAAGACAGGGCTCATCAAAGGGCTGAGTTCACCCTAAACTGCAAGCAGGGGCGGATATAGGGAGGGCGAACGGGGAAGCCGCCCCGGGCCCCGCGCTTAAAAAAGCCCCACGCATGCGCCGTGGCAAAGGGAGGGCCCCGCGGAGTTACGCTGCCCGGGACCCCGCACAACAGTCATCTGCCCCTGGCTGCAAGGCTGCACAGCTTCCCATTAAGCCTTGTGCAGGGGCTCAGCACTGCAGCAGGGAAAGATCTCTCTCCCCATGCTTAGAAGCTGCTCAGAGGGGAGACCCTCCATGCTGGCCTCTGCACCAAGCTACCATAGCTAGGGGAAAGGAGCCCTTCTTGTAATCCCCAGCAGGTAGCCACCAAGGTAAACCCGAGCCCCAGACCCACCTTAACCCCCCCCATCCCTGATCACCCTTCTGCACCCCAAAGCCTTCATCCCATGCCTGTATTCCCCTTCTGCACCTCAACTCCTAGCCCTGAGCCTGTACCCCCTCCTGTATCCCAAGCCCCTCATTTCCAACCCCATTACAGAGCTTGCACCCCAGCCAGAGACTTTGTACCCCAGACCTCTGCCAAAGCCCTGAGCCCCGTCTCATACTCAGAACCTCTTGGCCCCACTCCCACCACATGAATTTTATTATGTGCACCAATATGAATGTGATTTGTCACATATCACCTCCACATAGGTGCACATACGAAAATTAATTCTGCTCAGTGGTGGGAAAAATATACAGTATTTTCTCTAACGACCCCCCAACATTCCAATGGATTAAGAAAAAATAAAATCCTTAACTTACCAGCACATGTCCAGATATAGATGCAGCATTTGCAACAGATGTGGTGAAGACATTGTCTGCAGAGGCACCCACATTGGCTACGGTTACTGTGGTCACTTCTACAACATAAAACAGAAGTGAACTTAATATACTATTGTATCCACACAACTTGACTAAAGCTAAATGAGGAAAAATACAATTTGTTCTCCTGCTCTATGGTATTATTCCCAATTGCCTCCTCCCCTCCTCAAGAATCAGATCATCCACAGAGGATGTTCCCAGCTCCATTTCTGAAGTTCTCTCTGGAATTTTTTTCTCCCAGAGCAGCGCAGCCGGTGAATATGGGGCACTAGCTGTCTCCAGCAATCCTTCTCCTCTCCTCCAGCTTCTGGCCTGCCCCTCCCCACTCACAGCATCTGGAGGTCATATGGCCCTTCATGCTCCCTAACTCAGCCCCTGTAAGGGTTCCCACCTGTAACTAAGGGAATCCAAGATAGGTGTTTTATGGCATATATGTGGTGCTTCCCAAAGCACAAGATCTCTGAGTCTGACACACTTGTAAAGGCGAGCGATAAGGTGGGCGAGACAATATTTTTTATTGGACCAACTTCTGTTATTGAAAGAGACAAGCTTTCAAGCCACAAGAGAGCTCTTCTTCCTGCCTAATATCCTAGGACTAACACAGCTACATACAACATTTGTAAAGTAAAAGCTGTTCAGATCACATACAAAATACTTAGTTTGAAGCCTGCTGCCATATTTCCTGGCATATACAAATAAGGATTTTTGTATTCTGGGAATGGAAAGGCATGAAAAACAACTCAGAGGCTACATCTAGACTGGCCCCTTCTTCGGAAGAGGCATGCTAATTTCTAACTTTGGAATAGGGAAATCCGCGGGGGGATTTAAATCTCCCCCGCGGGATTTAAATAAACATGGCCGCCGCTTTTTTTCCGGGTTGGGGAAAAGCCGGAAAAGAGCGTCCAGACTGGCGCGATCCTCCGGAATAAAGCCCTTTTCCGGAGGATCTCTTATTCCTACTTGCAAGGAGGAATAAGAGATCCTCCGGAAAAGGGCTTTATTCCGGAGGATCGCGCCAGTCTGGACGCTCTTTTCCGGCTTTTCCCCAACCCAGAAAAAAAGCGGCGGCCATGTTTATTTAAATCCCACGGGGGAGATTTAAATCCCCCGCGGATTTCCCTATTCCAAAGTTAGAAATTAGCATGCCTCTTCCGAAGAAGGGGCCAGTCTAGATGTAGCCAGAAAGACATACATCAGGATTGACAGTAAGTTACGGGTAACTTTGAACATATTAGATTTTTATCAGTACATGATTTTACTTTTCTCACACACACACAAACTGATGAAAAATATTTTTCATCATATTTGCCTATCTGTAAATTTCAAAGTAAGAAATATGCTGCTTGATAATGAATTTACATCTTAAGAATATTCACTTTATATATTTTGGTGAGTGATGTTCATAATTTCCATCTTAATAGTTGTAAAGCTTTACTTTTTGAATCTCAGTGTCTATTGTCATTAAACAATTACTGCCTGATCCCTCTTAATTTCCCACAACTATGAAAATTTAAATAAAAACTAAAATAAATATTAAAATAAACATTGATATTAACCACTTAAATTATTAGGGCTGTCAATTAACGCACATTAACACCTGTGATTAACACAGAGCACAATTGATGCATTAAAAAAATTAACACGTTAATTGCAGGCATTTCCACGGCACTGCCCCTTTGGTGTTTCAAAGGGGTAGCTCAATAGGAGCCTGCGATCAGCTGGATTCCCCAGCTAACCCGGGCCTCCAGTCAGCACTGCCCCCTTTGAAACACTGTCCAGGCTCCTGCAGCACTGCCTCTGCCCTTTTGAAATGGCAGGGTAGTGGCATTTCCAAGGGGCAGCACTGCATGAAGCTGGGGTCATCTGGGGACTACAGCTGGACCCGGGCTCCATGCAGCGCTGTCCCTTTGAAATGCCAGGGCAGCCTTTCAAAGGGGCAGCTGCACTGAGCCTGGGGTCGGATGGGGACTGCAGCTGATCCCAGGCTTCTGCAGCGCTGCTCCTTTGAAATGTCACCACAGTATTTCAAAGGGGAGTACACAATTAATCTCATGATTAAAAAATTAATCATGATTAATCACTTTGAAAGCCCTATAAATTATTTACAAATGAATTCTATCAAGACTGATTATGGGCTAAAGTCACCTCTTCGGGATGCATGGCATATCTTGTCTCAAATATTCTGCATTTATTTCAGGAGGCTAAACTCCCAATGAGAGGTCTTTGCACACTGGATGAGCACAAGGTCAAAGCCAATATCTCATGTGCAGAAAGAAGAATCTTGCTCATTTTACTATAAAAGGGGGGAAATAGTGCATAGTATACTTGTGAAGGTAATATTAGCTGACAGGTAGGGTCGCCAACCCTGCAGGATTATTCTGGAATGTACAGGTCATGTAATGAACTCTCCAGGAATAAGTCCAACCAAAACTGGCAATCATAGCAAAAGATTGGGACTAGCCAGACAATATTTAGTTCTAACTCTGAATTTGCTAATTATTTGCTGTGTGGTGAGATATTACTTCCCTGCTCTGCCCCACAGCTGTAAAACAAAGATAACTGATTCAGAGGGGTAGCCATGTTGGTCAGTAACTGAAGAAACTTAAAAAACAAGTAGTCCTGCAGCACCTTAGAGACTAAAAACAATTGCAGATGGCATCATGAGCTTTCATGGGCACAACCTACTTCTTCAGATGAATGGAGTTAATAGGTCCAGGTTGCAAATAAATAGCAGAGAAAGAGAGGGGATGGGGAAGGAAAGAGAGGGAAAAAATGGTCAATTACAGTGTCCATGCTAAATGAACCTGGGAGAGTGGGTACTAAGTATTTATATCTCTGTAAATGTAAGTACCCATGCTTGGCCTTTATGTCATTATGATGTGGAAGTGCCATCTAGTTAAGGTCTTTGTTTAAACCTCTATTGCAGGTATCAAGCTTGTAAATGAAATCAAGTTCTGCTGCCTCTCTTCAGAAGGACGCTGTGAGCATTCAATGTCTGAACAGAGCTGTCCCGTGCCAAGTAGCACAGTGTCAGGGGATGGGCAGGACACAAGCTGGGAGGGGGTGGCGGG